ATCTGTTAGGTGACATCTGTTAGGTGACATCTGTTAGGTGACATCTGTTAGGTGACATCTGTTAGGTGACATCTGTTAGGTGACATCTGATGACATCTGTTAGATGGCATCTGTTAGATGACATCTGTTAGATGACATCTGTTAGGTGACATCTGTTAGATGACATCTGTGAGATGGCATCTGTGAGATGGCATCTGTTAGATGGCATCTGTGAGATGGCCTCTGTGAGATGACATCTGTTAGATGACATCTGTTAGATGACATCTGTTAGATGGCAACTGTTAGATGACATCTGTTAGATGACATCTGTTAGATGACATCTGTTAGATGACATCTGTTGCCTGACATCTGTTAGCTGGCATCTGTTGCCTGACATCTGTTAGATGACATCTGTTAGATGACACCTGTTAGTTGGCATCTGTTAGATGACATCTGTTAGATGGCATCTGTTAGATGGCATCTGTTAGATGACATCTGTTAGATGACATCTGTTAGCTGACATCTGTTAGGTGACATCTGGTAGATGGCATCTGTTAGATGACATCTGGTAGATGGCATCTGTTAGGTGACATCTCTTAGATGATATCTGGTAGATGACATCTGTTAGGTGACATCTGTTAGATGACATCTGTTAGGTGACATCTCTTAGATGATATCTGTTAGATGACATCTGTTAGATGGCATCTGTTAGATGACATCTGTTAGATGACATCTGTTAGATGACATCTGTTAGATGACATCTGTTAGATGACATCTGTTAGATGACATCTGTTAGATGACATCTGTTAGACGGCATCTGTTCGATGGCATCTGTTAGATGGCATCTGTTAGATGGCATCTGTTAGATGGCATCTGTTAGATGACATCTGTTAGATGACATCTGTTAGATGACATCTTTTAGATGACATCTGTTAGATTACATCTGTTAGATTACATCTGTTAGATGACATCTGTTAGATGACATCTGTTAGATGACATCTGTTAGATGACATCTGTTAGATGACATCTGTTAGATGACATCTGTTAGATGACATCTGTTAGATGACATCTGTTAGATGACACCTGTTAGATGACACCTGTTAGATGACACCTGTTAGATGACACCTGTTAGATGACACCTGTTAGATGACACCTGTTAGATGACACCTGTTAGATGACACCTGTTAGATGACACCTGTTAGATGACATCTGTTAGATGACATCTGTTAGATGGCATCTGTTAGATGACATCTGTTAGATGACATCTGTTAGATGACATCGGGTAGATGGCATCTGTTAGATGACATCTGTTAGATGACATCTGTTAGATGACATCTGTTAGATGACATCTGTTAGATGGCATCTGTTAGATGACATCTGTTAGATGACATCTGTTAGATGACATCTGTTAGATGGCATCTGTTGGATGGCATCTGTTAGATGGCATCTGTTAGATGACATCTAAGACGGCATCTGTTCGATGGCATCTGTTCGATGGCATCTGTTAGATGGCAATCTGTTAGATGCAATCTGTTAGTTACAACCTGTTAGATGCAATCTGTTAGATGAAATCTGCTAGATGACATCTGTTAGATGACACCTGTTAGATGACACCTGTTAGATGACATCTGTTAGATGACACCTGTTAGATGACACCTGTTAGATGACACCTGTTAGATGACACCTGTTAGATGACACCTGTTAGATGACACCTGTTAGATGACACCTGTTAGATGACACCTGTTAGATGACACCTGTTAGATGACACCTGTTAGATGACACCTGTTAGGTGACACCTGTTAGATGACACCTGTTAGATGACACCTGTTAGATGACACCTGTTAGATGACACCTGTTAGATGGCACCTGTTAGATGACACCTGTTGGATGACACCTGTTGGATGACACCTGTTAGATGGCATCTGTTAGATGACATCTGTTAGATGGCATCTGTTAGATGGCATCTGTTAGATGGCATCTGTCAGATGACATCTGTCAGATGGCATCTGTTAGATGACATCTGTTAGATGGCATCTGTTAGATGGCATCTGTTAGATGACATCTGTTAGATGACACCTGTTAGATGACACCTGTTAGATGACATCTGCTAGATGACATCTGCTAGATGACATCTGCTAGATGACATCTGCTAGATGACATCTGTTAGATGACATCTGTTAGATGACATCTGTTAGATGACATCTGTTAGATGACATCTGTTAGATGACATCTGTTAGATGACATCTGTTAGACGACATCTGTTAGATGACATCTGTTAGATGACATCTGTTAGATGACATCTGTTAGGTGACATCTGTTAGATGACATCTGTTAGATGACATCTGTTAGATGACATCTGTTAGATGACATCTGGTAGGTGACATCTGGTAGATGACATCTGGTAGGTGACATCTGGTAGGTGACATCTGGTAGGTGACATCTGTTAGGTGACATCTGTTAGGTGACATCTGTTAGGTGACATCTGTTAGGTGACATCTGTTAGTTAGATGTCATCTGTTAGGTGACATCTGTTAGTTAGATGTCATCTGTTAGGTGACATCTGTTAGATGACATCTGTTAGTTAGATGTCATCTGTTAGGTGACATCTGTTAGTTAGATGTCATCTGTTAGGTGACATCTGTTAGATGACATCTGTTAGTTAGATGACACCTGTTAGATGACACCTGTTAGATGACACCTGTTAGATGACATCTGTTAGATGACATCTGTTAGATGACATCTGTTAGATGACATCTGTTAGATGACATCTGTAAGATGACATCTGTTAGATGACATCTGTTAGATGACATCTGTTAGATGACATCTGTTAGATGACATCTGTTAGATGGCATCTGTTAGATGACATCTGTTAGATGGCATCTGTTAGATGACACCTGTTAGATGACATCTGTTAGATGACATCTGTTAGATGACATCTGTTAGATGACATCTGTTAGATGGCATCTGTTAGATGACATCTGTTGGATGACATCTGTTGGATGGCATCTGTTAGATGGCATCTGTTAGATGACATCTGTTAGATGACATCTGTTAGATGACATCTGTTAGATGACATCTGTTAGATGACATCTGTTAGATGGCATCTGTTAGATGACATCTGTTAGATGACATCTGTTAGATGACATCTGTTAGATGACATCTGTTAGATTACATCTGTTAGATTACATCTGTTAGATGACATCTGTTAGATGACATCTGTTAGATGACATCTGTTAGATGACATCTGTTAGATGACATCTGTTAGATGACATCTGTTAGATGACATCTGTTAGCTGACATCTGTTAGATACATCTGTTAGATCATCTGTTAGAATGGCCTCTTTAGATTACATCTGTTAATGACATCTGTTAGATGACATCTGTTAGATGACATCTGTTAGATGACATTGTAGATGCATCTGTTAGATGGGCATCTGGTTAGAATGGCATCTGTTAGATGAACCATCTGTTTAGATGACTCTGTTAGATGACTCTGTTTATATGGCATCTGTTAGATGTACATCTGTTAGATGACATCTGTTAGTGACATCTGTTAGATGACATCTGTTAGATGACATCTGTTAGATGGCATCTGTCAGATGACATCTGTTAGATGACATCTGTTAGATGACATCTGTTAGATGACATCTGTTAGATGGCATCTGTTAGATGACATCTTTTAGATGACATCTGTTAGATGACACCTGTTAGATGACATCTGTTAGATGACATCTGTTAGATGGCATCTGTTAGATGACATCTGTTAGATGACATCTGTTAGATGACATCTGTTAGATGACATCTGTTAGATGACATCTGCTAGATGACATCTGTTAGATGACATCTGCTAGATGACACCTGCTAGATTACACCTGCTAGATGACACCTGCTAGATGACACCTGCTAGATGACACCTGCTAGATGACATCTGCTAGATGACACCTGTTAGATGACACCTGTTAGAAGACATCTGCTAGATGACATCTGTTAGATGACATCTGTTAGATGACATCTGTTAGATGACATCTGTAAGATGACATCTGTAAGATGACATCTGTAAGATGACATCTGTTAGATGACATCTGTTAGATGACATCTGTTAGATGACATCTGTTAGATGGCATCTGTTAGATGACATCTGTTGGATGACATCTGTTGGATGACATCTGTTAGATGACATCTGTTAGGTGACATCTGTTAGATGGCATCTGTTAGGTGACATCTGTTAGATGACATCTGTTAGATGACATCTGGTTAGATGACATCTGTTAGGTGACATCTGTTAGATGACATCTGTTAGATGACATCTGTTAGATGACATCTGTTGGATGACATCTGTTAGATGACATCTGTTAGGATGACATCTGTTAGATGACATCTGTAGATGGCATCTGTTAGATGACATCTGTTAGATGACATCTGTTAGATGACATCTGTTAGATGACATCTGTAAGATGACATCTGTTAGATGACATCTGTTAGATGACATCTGTTAGATGACATCTGTTAGATGACATCTGTTAGATGGCATCTGTTAGATGACATCTGTTAGATGACATCTGTTAGATGACATCTGTTAGATGGCATCTGTTAGATGACATCTGTTAGATGACATCTGTTAGATGGCATCTGTTAGATGATCTGTTAGATGATCTGTTAGATGGCATCTGTTAGATGACATCTGTTAGATGACATCTGTTAGATGACATCTGTTAGATGACATCTGTTAGATGACATCTGTTAGATGACATCTGTTAGATGACATCTGTTAGATGACATCTGTTAGATGACATCTGTAAGATGACATCTGTTAGATGACATCTGTTAGATGACATCTGTTAGATGACATCTGTTAGATGACATCTGTTAGATGACATCTGTTAGATGACATCTGTTAGATGGCATCTGTTAGATGACATCTGTTAGATGACATCTGTTAGATGACATCTACCATCATCAAATCTGCACGATCTGTGTCTTGTCTCAGTTTTACACCCAGACCTTGGATGATCTTGGTAGACACTGAGCAGCCTGACATTACCTCCATACTGCGCATCTTTTCGAGCCAATGTTCTCCTCGTTGAATGTCACCAACCTACATCCAGAAGGAAGGAAACATAACCTATCAGAATAAAATCTGACTGGTCTTCTACATTCTAAAGGTTGCCCCCTAAGAATGATCGAAATACTTGTACGAAGGATGCCGAAAGAAAAGAACCGGAGATATCTGTAGAATCAAACAATCATACTATCAACTGGTGAAATATCTTGCACAGCGGACCTTGGCACATGCATCAAGCAAAATCGCCTTAGTGGTGCTCAATGGAACAACATGTTGTCACACAAACTGATTGAAATTGTTCAAGTCTTCTGGAGCAAATGGAACACGTCTCAGGCCGAAACATAGTGGGTTGCAATCCGTTGTGGTCCTAAAGTCTTCTTGGGCAACAGGCGAAAGCTGGGTCCAGTCCCATTCAACAAGATCTTGAAGTAGAACGGAACAAATTTGAACAAAAATTATGATCACGGCTGACCAGGGGCAGCGCCAACATAAAGTTCATTCACCATTTCAGAGAACCAGGATTCTGCCTGATGCACCTGGGAACTCGGTGCAGTTTCTCGTGGACTCTCGCTTGAGGGTCCATGCTGAATGAAGTCTGGGATACATATCGTTACACATGCTAGAATAGTTCCGTTGGCAATTGTTGGCTGTTGTTGGCAGTTGGCTCAAGGGTACAATTCGAAGAATCAGAGGCACCAAGTGCCTCGCAATTGCTTCTGAACTTATTGTAAAACATAACATATCCGAAAAATGAATTACACCACCGTAAACCCCAAGCAGTGGGTGGAAAAGTGCTTTGAGGAACAGGTCAAACACATGAAGTAGCAGCGGCAGGAATCGTGATAATGTCTGCAATAAGTGCCGGCCACTTCATGTTTATTGTTTTTCGGCTTCGCTAGCTTTGTCGCAACACTGGGTATCAAGAAACAAAGGGAAACAAGAAGGGAGACAAGCTGGGAGACAAGCCAGACAAGGCCTTGGGAAGGTGGACACAGCATCCAACAAAGGGAAACAAGAAGGAAGACAAGCTGAGAAGAGAGAAAAAGCCTCAGGAAGCCAGACACACCATCCAACCAAGGGAAACAAGAAGATCAAGAAGGAAGACGAGCTGGGAGACAAGCTGGGAGACAAGCTGGGAGACAAGCTGGGGGACATTAGAGGAGACAAGATGGGAGACAAGCTGGGAGACGGGTGGAAAAGCCTCCCGAATGACCCTCGGGAAGGCGGACACACCATCCAACAAAGAGAAACAAGAAGGTGTACAATGAGAGACAAAGGGAGACAAGACAAAGGGAAACAAGAAGGCAGACAATGGGAGCCAGGGGGAGACAAGATCCTCGGGAAGGTGGACACACCGTCCAACACCAAGGCGGACATCTTAAGAAAGCATTAAGAACCCCTAACAGTCCTAACAGTACACTGTTTGGGGAAAACGAAAACCAGCATGCTCTGGCAAAATACCATGCCAATAAAATAAGCTTCACGATTCAAGACTGAAATCGTGGTATCTCGGTATCCCCAACATCCCACTCATCCCACTGCAGGCTATTTCTTCTTCGGCAGCTTCACACCGTATAGCATGTGAGACTCTTCCATCCAGGGAGGAGGTAGTATGAGAATGCCAGTTTAGGAGCAAAAATGAGCAAACTGTTTTGGATAACTACTTTGGATAGATTATACATGCTGTGGTGATCGTGATACCGGCAAATTTGCGTCTCTTGTGCCATTTGCTGACTTTGTCTAAAGATTCTAAACATGTCCGTGGTTTGGCCTTTGTAGTAAGGGAACTTTAATCTTCGGAATTCTTGAATTAAGCATGCAGAACCTGACCAACTTCTCCAAGATAAGACAAGTCTTGCGAAGCCTGCTCTGATTCTTTGGACGGGTTGTCGTGTCCCTCGCTGGAATGCCACAGCAACTCAGAACTAAAAATGAAGCAGCGATATTGTCCTCTCTCTCTCTCTCTCTCCCTCTGTCTAATATATTTTTTTAGTTCTCAATACAATATATCATCACAATAGATCAAATATGCTCCTGGGACGAAAAACCGTGGACTGGCTGCTGACAACCCCCTCTAGGACAGTCTTGGACTTGAATTCAGTCCAATCTAATTTTATACACACTCCGCAAACTTTATGTTGCAGGCTGCATTCAATACATTGACCTATCTTGCGTAAAAGGCAAGGGTGGCAAGCTGTGATCCTGTCGGTCCTCTCGTGTCCGTGTCGGTGGTGGAGCGCTCTTTGGCTGCGGCAGCCGCGGCAGGGACACCACCCGTGGCCGTTCGCGGCACTGTGCGGAGGAGCTGCGCAGCACTGGGACCAGCTCGCTGCGCCAGTGCCGCAGAGGTGGCTTCACCACAACCAGCAGGTCCTTCGAGGCCATGCGGATGCTGACCCAGCCGGTCTCAGGTCCAGATCCCGAGACTTTGGAAAAATGTAAACGATCTCCAATCAACTCGGTCTGCTCCACCAATGCACCAGTGGAAAGCCTTTCTTCCAGCTGCAAGGATTGTAGGTCTCGTTTCTCGCGCACAATTATCCTTAGATGTGCCAGAGTAGTACGAACAAAAGCAGTCATGTGATGTCTTGCGCATTCATTGTCAGCTATTGTCATTGCCACCACGTTACCCACCCTTGCCAACTCCACCAACAACCTCGGCAGACTAAGCAGGATTTGAGACTCTAGACAAACCTGCGCCATGCTTCATCCCAGGGTCAATGGCATTCCTTACATCAAAATTGGCTTGCATCTGAGACATGTCTGAACAGAAAACGTTCCACAAAACAGATAAACTATGAAACAGTTATGAGAGAACCATCACCATGGAGTATCATGGAGTTCGGCACAAACAACAAAATAGCGAAGCTGATATAGGGCCTTCCATCGTGGAGGTCGCACATACGCCGGATCCTGGGCTATCTTGGCTCATGGCTCCAACGGCCAATGCCTTGCAGCTAAATGTAAGTGACGTCCATCCACGAGCTTTTTGAAGCCGAGTGTCTTGACTTGGCGGCCTTGGTACGAGAGGAACTGCACCTTGGTTATGTAGAAATTTCAGGCGCGGCAAATCAGCAGCCCATAAATTTGATTCTGTTTAGTCTCAAACATCATCAAATCATGAAAATCAGGGGAAACAAATTTGAACCACTGCAAGACAACGACAGATGCAACTTCGGTTCAGCATTGGTCGCAGACATCTGTGCTCCCGGCGATGTTCCTCGCGCTCTCCAGGCTCCTGTTTGGATATATTCTCGCCCAATGCCAGTACAAGGCACGACTGGGTACATTTGGAGCAGTCTTTGGACAAATTAGTGGAAGATTATGAAAGTACGAGTATCATGTGGTTTCATCATGTTTCATGCTGTTTCATAGAATTTTCCGTATTTTCAGATACCTCTGACTCCGGAATTTTCGAAGCTGGAGGCACTGGAGGCTCTGTCACTTCCTCCGATTCCTTGGTTTCTTGACTACTTGGCTTTGCCGAAATGCCTATGCTACGGCTGGGGCCAAGACTTTGGCGCCTTGCGCTTCATGAACTCTTGGTGTTGGTTTCGGTGTTGCCTTTTGCCTAAAGTTGGCTGGAGTGCCCATCTGCTCAAAACAAACAAGTGCGATTCCAACAAGTTTTTCTCTTCGATGTGAGCTGTGCTCTAAGTTCTGACAGGAAACACATCTGACGCATTTGGTGCAGATGCCCTCCGCCTTACCTGGCCATGCTGAGCAAATGTTGCCATGTTGTTTAGTCACTGTCTAAATCGTGTTTAAATCTGTATAATCCTTAAAGTGCTACAGCTACTCAATGCCGGCGAAGGTCCCCCAACGTTGCAGTCACCTTATGGAAAATTAAAAACAAAATGACATGTTTCAAAATCAAGACACCATGTAAACGCATGATTCATGTATGTTTGGGTAAATTATCATTTTTGTTGCAAAACACATCTGATTCTAATGTTCAAAATATAACAAGTACATCAAAGAAATGACATCTTTGGTTCAAAACACAATGTGAACGCATGATTCATGTATGTTTTGGTATGTTTTGGTAACAAATCTATGGGGTTCTGATTTGCATCCCAACTCCATCTTTCTGCAACGGGTTCCGAACAAGGCCAAAAACGAGGCCAAAAACGAGGCCAAAACGAGGCCCAAACGAGGCCCAAACGAGGCCAGAAAATAGCTTTGGAAACCCCTCAGCTTTAGCAGCAGTTTACCACCAGCCCGGCAGCAAGTCTCTAGCAGGAGTCTAGAAGCAGTCTGGCAGCAGCTCAGCAGCAGTTTGCACGCTGCCCAGTGTAAACACAAGCTAAAGTTGCTAAATGAAGCAAATTTTACTTCTATAAAGCATCGTTTTCTTTCGTTTTCTATCTTACGCAACTGCTCCACAACAAGTAAACGCATGTTGGGGCGACTTTCCCGGGAAGTCCCCCCCAACTAAACGCAAGATTTTGGATCGGGCGGGGTGAGTTCACTATATAATATTATATAATCGAGTATCAAAATCGAAGAAACAGTGACTCTCCCGTGACTATCCCGCGACTCCTCCGGACCAAGCCATTGGAGCCTGGCCCATCTCCTTCTCGAGTTTCTCCTTTATTCTCGCTCGCTCAGATGCCTAGACACTGCGTCTCAAAGAATGGCAGCTGCAGGGTGAATCACACAAAACCTGGAATACAATTGAAACATTCAACATGAGCTGATTGGCAAGATCAAGCCCCGACATGAGACGTGCTTTGACATGCTTTGACATTCTTTGGCCAAGCATGACAACTTACTAGTTGACTATGTGGGTGTGTTGTAATGCGCGGGGCAAACAGCCCAAATTTGCTTTTTGAATAGGAAAATAGAAAAACGATGATCAACCGTCAGACTTGGGGCTACCATATCTTTAGACAAACCCATACGCCTCGGCCACTCTGATCCGCAGCTTTGCATCAGCCAGAGCGTCCTTTGCGTCCTGCAGAGCATCTGCCATGGCATTCGTCTCTGCAGACTCGGTAGAGAGGCACGTGTCCCTGGCGCACATGTCACACGACAGAGACTTTTTTCATCTTTTTTCCGAAGAAAAACGGGGATTCAGCTGCGAACATCTCAGGGCCACAAATGCAACAGCCACAAATCTTTCATCCAGTCCTTTGGCCTAATCATGATGCGCCCTGGATGTGCATCCCAACTATCTAAATGCCTTTTATACTTAATTCATTGGAGATACCACCCCAGTGATGTCACTGGGTTGTTTCAATGGTGACCAAATCATCTCCAAGGCACATTTTTACGTCCTCTTCAAGTGCCTGATGCCGAGCCAAAGCCCACGAGAGCATGTCACGGATTCCGGATCCATTGCCCTTGTCCCCAACGGAGTCCTATGGAGACAATATGGCGGAAACGGCAAGGAGATGCTGTCGATACTGGTTGCGGGGGATCCCATGACGGATCTTCTAATCGCCAATATCCCCACTAGCAAGTAGCATACTCTGAGTTTACCTTCCCTAAAATCATCACCCGACCCGGGTTTTGAACACCGCTTCGTCTAGTTCAGCCACTCCAACTTTGCCGAGTCTCAGCTTTGTTTGATGCCTTTCTCCTTCCGGTCCGGCCACTTTTTCCATTGGACGGCAAGCCAAGATCTGGAAGATCCTGGCAACAAAACATACGTATGTTTGACAAATCTTGACTAAGTCTTGACAGATGTTGACAATAGGAATTGCTGCCATACCTTTCTAATCCTTTCCAATCCTTTTTATCGTATCTATAGTTGTACCATCATTGGAAAAAACACTGAACACTTACACTTCAGTCATCTTCAGTCTCTCTTTCAGGACTCAGGCACTGACCCAGTTTCGCTGCATGCGATCGCATTCATCCAACAAATGCTGAATGTCATCCTGGCAGCGACAAAACTTCGAACAGAAAGGGAAGTGTTGCATCCCTGTCCATTTGCGAGTTCAATATGATGTTAATGTTAATGTTTTATTGTGTTTTACTATGTTCATTGATGTTCTGTATGTCATATATGCACTTCGCTTCATCTGTGTCACATACTGTCACTGTCACCGTGTATCAGCACCTGGGCAGATCTGGATGGGCGATAGTTCGCAGGCCGTGCCATGAGAAAATCTCATCGGAGCAAAAACGGACCAAAACTGAAAAAATATGATGTTTTAATGTGTTTTAAAATGTTTTACAATGTTTTAATATGTTTTAAAATGGTTTGAAATGTTTTAAAATGTTTGAAAATGTTTTAATATGTTTTAATATGGTTTGAAATGTTTTAATATGTTTTAAAATGGTTTGAAATGGTTTGAAATGTTTTGAAATGTTTTAATATGTTTTAAAATGTTTTAAAATGTTTTAAAATGTTTTAATATGTTTTAAAATGTTTTAATATGTTTTAATATGTTTTAAAATGTTTTAAAATGGTTTAAAATGTTTTAGTATGTTTTAATATGTTTTAATATGTTTCAATATGTTCTAATATGTTTTAATATGGTTTAATATGTTTTAATATGTTTTAATATGTTTGAATATGTTTTAATATGTTTTAATATGTTTTAAAATGTTTTAAAATGTTTTAATATGTTTTAAAATGTTTTAATATGTTGCAATATGTTTTAATATGTTTTAATATGTTTCAATATGTTTTAATATGTTTTAATATGGTTTAATATGTTTTAATATGTTTTGATATGTTTTAATATGTTTTAATATGCTTCAAAACGTTTTAATATGTTTTAATATGTTTTAATATGTTTTAATATGTTTTAATATGGTTTAATATGTTTTAATATGTTTTAATATGTTTTAATATGTTTTAATATGTTTTAATATGTTTTAATATGTTTTAATATGGTTTAATATGTTTTAATATGTTTTAATATGTTTTTAATATGTTTTAATGTTTAATGTTTTAAAATGTTTTCAAAGTTTTAATATGTTTTAAATTTAATTGGTTTGATGGTTGAATGTTTTAATATGTTTTAAATGTTTTAGTATGGTTTAATATGGTTTGAATTTTTTTATGTTTTTAAAATGTTTTAATCTTTTTTAATATGTTTTAAAATGTTTTCAAATGTTTTAATATGTTTTAATATGTTTAATATGGTTTGAAATGGTTTGAAATGTTTTAATATGTTTTAAAATGTTTTAGTATGTTTTACAATGTTTTAATATGTTTTAAAATGGTTTGAAATGTTTTAAAATGTTTTAATATGTTTTAATATTGTTCTAATATGTTTTAAAATGGTTTAATATGTTTTAATATGTTTTAATATGTTTTAATATGTTTTAATATGGTTTAATATGTTTTAATATGGTTTAATATGTTTTAATATGGTTTAATATGTTTTAATATGTTCTAATATGTTTTAATATGTTTCAATATGTTTTAATATGTTTTAATATGGTTTAATATGTTTTAATATGTTTTAATATGTTTTAATATGTTTTAATATGTTTTGATATGTTTTAATATGTTTTAATATGTTTTAATATGTTTTAATATGTTTTAATATGCTTCAAAAATGTTTTAATATGTTTTAAAATGTTTTAATATGTTTTAATATGGTTTAATATGGTTTAATATGTTTTCATATGTTTTAATATGGTTTAATATGTTTTAATATGTTTTAATATGTTTTAATATGTTTTAATATGTTTTAATATGTTTTAATATGTTTTAATATGTTTTAATATGTTTTAATATGTTTTAATATGTTTTAATGTGGTTTAATATGGTTAAATGTGGTTTAATATGTTTTTATATGTTTTAATATGTTTTAATATGTTTTAATATGTTTTAAAATGTTTTTTAATATGTTTTAATATGTTTTAATATGTTTTAATATGTTTTAATATGGTTTAATATGGTTTAATATGTTTTAATATGTTTTAATATGTTTTAATATGTTTTAATATGTTTTAATATGTTTTTATATGTTTTTATATGTTTTAATATGTTTTAATATGTTTTAATATGTTTTCATCTGTTTTCATATGTTTTAATATGGTTTAATATGGTTTAATATGTTTTCATATGTTTTAATATGGTTTAATATGTTTCAATATGTTTTAATATGTTTTAATAGGTTTCAATATGGTTTAATATGGTTTAATATGTTTTAATATGTTTTAATATGTTTTAATATGTTTTCATATGTTTTAATATGGTTTAATATGGTTTAATATGTTTTCATATGTTTTAATATGGTTTAATATGTTTTAATATGGTTTAATATGGTTTAATATGGTTTAATATGTTTTAATATGTTTTAAAATGTTTTAATATGGTTTAATATGGTTTGAAATGTTTTAAAATGTTTTAATATGTTTTAATATGGTTTAATATGGTTTAATATGGTTTAATATGTTTGAATATGCTTTAATATGTTTTAATATGTTTTAATATGTTTCAATATGTTTTAATATGTTTTAAAATGTTTTAATATGTTTTCATATGCTTTAATATGTTTTAATATGTTTTAATATGGTTTAATATGGTTTAATATGTTTTAATATGTTTTAATATGTTTTAATATGTTTTAATATGTTTTAATATGCTTCAAAATGTTTTAATATGTTTTAAAATGTTTTAATATGTTTTAATATGGTTTAATATGGTTTAATATGTTTTAATATGTTTTAAAATGGTTTAATATGGTTTAATATGGTTTAATATGTTTTAATATGTTTTAAAATGTTTTAATATGGTTTAATATGGTTTGAAATGTTTTAAAATGTTTTAATATGTTTTAATATGGTTTAATATGGTTTAATATGGTTTAATATGTTTGAATATGCTTTAATATGTTTTAATATGTTTTAATATGTTTCAATATGTTTTAATATGTTTTAAAATGTTTTAATATGTTCCAATATGTTTTAATATGTTTTAATATGGTTTAATATGTTTTAATATGTTTTAATATGTTTTAATATGTTTTAATATGTTTTAATATGCTTCAAAATGTTTTAATATGTTTTAATATGTTTTAATATGTTTTAATATGGTTTAAAATGTTTTACAATGTTTTAATATGTTTTAAAATGGTTTGAAATGTTTTAAAATGTTTGAAAATGTTTTAATATGTTTTAATATGGTTTAATATGTTTTAATATGTTTTAAAATGGTTTGAAATGGTTTGAAATGTTTTAAAATGTTTTAAAAATGTTTTCATATGTTTTAATATGATTTAAAATGTTTTAGAATGTTTTAAAATGTTTTAAAATGTTTTAAACTGTTTTAAAAGTTTTTTAAAATGTTTTGATATGTTTCAATATGTTTTAATATGTTTTAAAATGTTTTAAAATGTTTTAATATGTTTTAATATGGTTTAATATGTTTTAATATGGTTTAATATGTTTTAATATGGTTTAATATGGTTTAATATGTTTTAAAATGTTTTAAAATGTTTTAATATGGTTTAATATGTTTTAAAATGGTTGAATATGTTTTAATATGGTTTAATATGTTTTCATATGTTTTAATATGGTTTAATATGTTTTAATATGTTTTAATATGTTTTAATATGTTTTAAAATGGTTTAATATGGTTTAATATGGTTTAATATGTTTGAATATGCTTTAATATGTTTTAATATGTTTTAATATGTTTCAATATGTTTTAATATGTTTTAATATGTTTTAATGTCCTTAAAAAAAATGGATACCAATGGGTATTCATATAAATATTAAATAATATAAATGGATTCTATAGGTCTCAATACAGCTCAATATGTCTCAATCTTCGTGCAGTGCTGATGCCACAATCTGTTCTGAGAGGTCAGCCAACCGATGTCTAACTATTTTGTGTATTCCCTCATAGCAAGTTTTATTGATTTGACAGTGACTGACAGGGTATCCTTCAAAAAAAGTGCCTGGCACAAAATTGAAATGGGTGAGGCTTTCGCGATGGATCTAGACGGCCCTTCTTGTTCGAAGCCCCAGGCTGCAAGCATAATTTAAAGAAATCCGTCGTACCAATCAAATCGTTCAATCCAGAAATGCAAACAAATAGCTACCCGAAACGAAATAATTCGTAAGATGAATACATACAGACTCAAACTCAAATGTTTCATTATGTTTCTAAGTTCCATGCATCTCCACCTTTTGCTGCCGCTTCCATCAGCCTTGAAGGATTCCAGGATTGGACTTTTTACCGACACACCGCTGTCTGAGGATCAGCATTCTAAAGCACAAAATAGATCAACATAGCACAAATAAGCACAAATAAGCACAAATACATTGTGCTGGGAGGGCAAAACAATATCCTGACATATCCTGACTGGATGATTTCATGTTTTTTGGATCGGTCCATTACTTCCACCTTTTTATCCTTTTTGTCTATCGTGATCTATCGTGATTTCATGCAGAGCCAAGGTTGGAACATGTTGGAACTATGCAGCCCGCTCAGGCCGAGGCTTCCCATATGTCTGCCGATTTGGCTTCACAGTATGCCTGGAACTTATCACCGTGGCAAGGAGTAGGAGGAGGAGAACGGGAATGGGTAGTGTAAGGATGAGGACAGGGATGATGGTGATGGTAATCCGATTGTGATGGTGGTGATGATGATGACGACGACGACGACGATGATTATGATGATAATGATGATGATGATGATGATGGGGTTGTTCCCATGTTGTTGTGATATTGCGATGATGTGGTGATACTATCGTGATGTTGTCAGGAGGATACTGCCAGGATGGTGCGAGGATATGACGGTAAACAAATGACCAGGAGGATGGAGAAGCAACATGAGGATCATCTGCAAGAACCCTTAACGGTTGCTAAATCTTTCAAGCCGCAACAACGAAAGTTATTTGAACATATTTGAACTGATTGCTTTGGCACAAAATGCGACCTCTGGACTCTGGGTGCAGAGACTGTTGGGGGGGGGGGGTACTGTACAAACTCAAGAAACAAACTGGCAGATGCAATTGGTCTACTGCCTGGATTTTGGTTGAAAGACGACAAAGTATATAATAATGTGTGTGTGTTCAATGTATCAAGGCGTGTAGGGAGCACGTTTATCGATGCACTTTCCAGTCCTGCCTTTCCATCGAAAGAAAAAGATGTCTGGCACCCGTCATGTCTCCAGCCTCAGCCACGTGCCGGCGATTGAGTGGAGAGCTGCTGGCCACTCTGAACCGAAGAAAAACATGGAAACACAGTGTACGTTGAAGTAATTTCAAGTCAGAGTCCGGCAACACAGCCAAGTTGCATTTGCATGAGCTTTCAGCATCGTATTCCAGACCTTAAAGCTATATCTTTCAGCATCTTCCAGCGTTCAAACAATGCTTGCAAAGATGTTCATACATGTTCAAGATATCGACCATGCGGTGAAGTCCACCTGCCCATTTGCCATGGACTTGAAAGCTCTGTATCGAAGGCGAACCATGCGAGCATTGGCATTGGTCACCTGCACCTCTCTTGCTACGTCGCTCATCGTGTTTGTACAACCTTGGCGGCAATGGCAAAGATTCGGAAAAAAGGCACTACAGAGACATACAGTGACTTTTCCGAAATCCAAAGAATGACGCTTTCATACTCTTTCTGCATCTTCGTTATTCTTCGTTCCTGTTTGTCATGTCCCTGGCGTCTCTCAGGACGGTACTGGCCAAAAGCCTGTTGAGCTAGCTCTATTTGACCTGCCTCGGCGTGCCGATTCAGCTCTCCGAGAAGCGCTTCATCCTGGGACCCAGAATGCCAACATCATGCACAGGCAGAGACCTATGGCATCATATGAAAGGCCCACCAATCCTCAGGGGGGACTGGAAGCTTTTCTCCAGCGAGTCGCCCCTGACCTGGACGGGGCAAGATGATGGCCCTGGAGAGTTACCCCCGTTACCCCCAAGTTTCTCAGTGAACCAAAGCATTCGAAAAGATATTTTTGGCCCTATTGGCTACTAGGCAGACATGAAACTTGACTATAAACATCTATACTGAAAAGTGAACCGTTTCAGTTTCAACTGTCCTGTGACTGCCTCGACGTGCAAGAGCCCACGCACATCTGCTGGAGTGAATGACCTGTGAAACACGTTTTGTTTCATAAAACACGCCTCTGTTCACTAATTGCATACATCTCTGACTCACAGTGAAGTAGAGGATGACAACTTCCAATCCATTATTGTGAATTCTTGTCTAGTATGATGACATGATGACATTCAACCTTCATAGGAATTGGCAAAATGGCCGAAAATTGTTGAAGTTCAATTAATCCCGCAGAGGCAGAGACGATCCAGCATTGGGTGGTTCACTTTCCAAGCTGGAACCCAAACAAGCTTCTGTTTCGGACTTCCGTTGATTCTAACTGGAGTTCTACCACACCAATCGAATGATTTTTCTTCTCCACCCTTTCAGAACTAGCTACATTGGCTATACCTACAACCGGATAGTGTCTAAGCAAACACAAAATCTGCACAGGAGGCAACTTCAACTTAAGAGCAATCAATTAGCAGCAATATAAGGAGATCAAAGAGACGTCAGTGACCTTCTTGAATCCAGCCATCTGAAGCCATGCCTTTTGCTGCGCGTATCCTGACTCCAATCCTGACTCCATGCTTGATACACTTTCATCCGCATCATCCGTTCAGTGTTTCATAGTGTTTCTATCTGTTATGTCAAACGTAATTTTAGAAACAAATGACCGTCAAATCATTGGTCCAACATGGGCAAATCAAGACTGGATGCTTTCGTGTGGCACAGGCTTGATCCTGGAATGGCTGTCGCTGTCGGCATTGCATCTGGTGGCAAAATCTTTCAGTGGACACATTCTGAGCATTGATGCAAACGGCGACCTGTGCAGCGTTTTTCTCACAAGAATCTGATTGCAGCTTGTCGGCTTTGCGCAGCCTTTGCATCCTGAGCGCTTTCAAAAAGGGCTCACGAAAGGAAGGGTCACGGATCTGGAATACACCCAGTCGGGAAAGTCAGTGCACCGTCTGTTTGAAAACAAATCACAATGGGACGCCGCGCATTCAGGAAGTCACAGAAGTCAGTGCAAAATTATACAAATCAGCATGGGACGCTGTGCGCCAGCAATCATCTATTTCGTTTAATGTTCCGTGTTTTTTATGGCTCTAAAATTAGGAATCATACTGTGGACGCTGCATCTATGCAGTCATTGTTTTAGGCTATTTTGAATGATTTTGTTGAACAACGCAATGGGACGCAAGTTTCACCACAACTACAGTAACTACAGCCAAAGTGAAGCGACCAACCAAAGATACAGGTGCAACCCCTTGTGGCGCGAGCAGCTCGGTAGTGGGAAGGCAAGCAGCAGCAACAGCAGCAGCACGACCAGCAGAACCAGCAGAACCAGCTTCAGTAGCAGCAGCAGCAGCAGCAGCAGCAGCAGCGACAATACAAGACAAGGCAAGACAATTCACGTATTTCCGGCGATACTCTGGCGATACCCTAAAATGGAAAAGGAACCCCTCGCCACCAATCCCCCTCATCATTTCAACACAACCACATCTCCAAATTTCAAAAGGGGAAAACCCAACACAATCCAATTCCCAATGGAACTGACACATTAGGGAAATTCCGAACCTACAAGAACGCAGGTAAAAATATCAATGTTCCAAAACATGTCTTCCAAAACACCACCTGGACGCAGCACGCAAGAACTTCCAGAAATCTTTCCCCCCAACTAAACGCAACAAAGCAAGTGAACGCATTGAGTTTCCAAATGGATCCAAATGGGGTGTATCAGCATGACTTGAAGGCGACTTGATCTCAATTGCGCCAAACCCGGTCCTTTCGAATGGATGGTGGCGCAGTGAGGAAAGACCTCGCAAATCGCTAATGTCACAGATTCACAAGATTATCTCTTTCACATCATTGGAGCCGTTGCTTTTCCCGGGCTTTGCTGCAACTGAAAGTGCCTAGTGAAAATCTTGACTGAGACTTCAGCAAGCTGCCCAACGCTGCCTTCGGTGTTGAAGAAGTGGTTGCTCTAGACCAAAGGAGAGTAGGAGAAATTCTTAAGTATTGTGGACGTTTGGGAACTCAATGGTACAATAAATATCGCGACTAAGAGACCAAACAAGTGTACCGAAGTCCAACCAACATACAAATGGACCTCAAACATTTTGAAAGACCACAGCCCGTGTGAAAATATTAGACATCCTCCTGGCGATCAATCCCCAACATCAGCCTCTTGAACCACTTCTTCTTCAGGCTCCATTCCTGGGACATGTTCTGGGCAGAACTGCTCGGCGTTAGAAGCTTCGTGATTGAAATGTTAATATATATATATATATGTGTGTGTGTGTCTAAGTTAAAATTGCAATTCTCACCCCATTTGAAGAACACAAGATGTTAAAATGTGCTGAGCTTATTTTAGTACAGGCAATTTGGATCAGAACATATCAGAAGCAGCACCTGATGGTGGAAGAATCTTCAACTCATATGGCCACTTGCCGCATGCCTCGCAAGATTTGGAAGTTCCAACCGGTTCCAGTTCCAACTGAAATCGATGGCTCTCGCTGGCTGTCGCTGGCCTCCAGCATCTCCTGATGATGGTTTCGCCACTCAGGTCCGCCTGACACAGGATGGCACTGCCGTGAACGGGGCCTAAGGGGCCGATGCGAAGAAGAAGAAGAAAAGAGAACGTCTCCAAGGGCTTACAAATCTACTGAATTGTTGACCCTTGTGACCTTATGATCCACTGAAATAATCAGGATTGGATGCGTGTGTTAACATACATGTTTATAATACACCGATTCCATTTCAGCTTTGGAGCTGAAGGCTGAAGTAAAGAACTCGGGAAAACCACCCGACGTCCACACATTGCAGGAGTGAGATGGAGTCAGGACAAGACCCATGGTCCAGAACTGCAAAGTCACGAACAGTCCCCGTTCACGACGCAAAGAGAAGAAGCTGCATGCAAATAGACTTCGAATGACAAATAATCATCCTGAAGAGAAAGCACCCCCAATCAAGGCTGCGGTCACCGCAATGAACTTGCAAGCACCAAACTCGCACATCATTTGCTTTGCTTTAAAAACCGATAAAAAAAAAAACACAAACTATTCTTATATGACCGGACCGCAAGCCATGATGAGGTTTTCACAGGGAGATCCACAAAATCTGACCCAGTCGGTTTTGCTGCGGTATCTGTGAGGACTGCAATGACTCAAGGCAATCACCTGCCTATGATATCCTCCATTTCTTTCTTGGTCCTGCAGGAACACCCTTTAAGCATGGTGCAGTATCAATCCTTTTACACAATGACCATGACCTTATGGGAAGGCGTGCACAACCCTGCCTGAGCTTGCCGTGGCAGCCACTGGTGTCACACTTCCCAGCACCCAGCTCTGTCTTCCTGGAAGCTTAGTGCTGACGCAAACCTCAAATGCCTCAAAGTTGCCTCAAGAAAATTAGGACTTCCTTAGCCTTAGATCAGCCTCAACTTACCTTGAAACTTGGAACTGCACGCAACAGGAACAATCCAGATCAGCTTCATGGTGCTGCAAAAGGTTGCTGGGCCGCATACCAGGCGCAAGTGTCATAACATCCCTCTGCCTGACAGAAACAGCGCAGCCCCCTGAACAGCGCAGCAGAATAAGTCTAAGATATCTAAGTATTTCGGATCCAGGAATCCGCAAATAGATAGAAATGTGTTTCCAGGATGTAAGAGATGAATGTGTATTGTTCATAACTTCCAGGTTTCCAAATTCATTATCAACTTGGGCGTTAGTATAGTATATGAGCGGTGCACAACATGCCCTTTCACTCGAAAAGGACATGGCTGAAGTAAGTGGTCCTCTGCAGTATGGATTGTGAATCATGCGTGTGTAAAACTATATTTGGTATTGATAAGTGGGTGGCCCCGTATCGATTGTGAAGGCTTCGACAAACACCTGAACATACAAAGCCCGCTTCCTCTATCTCCCTCTTACAGTAACTTTATATACTTTTTTGATCTTTTTTGTTCCGCTAATTTGTCGAATATTCATGTATACTTTTTTGTGATTATATGTCAACAGATGTCAACAGGAATGATTCGGCATCAGGCCCTGGCAACAAAAGCACGCCAGGCGACATGTAGCTGGCCTTCTGACCGATGTTCAGCATGGTATACAGCAGGCCCTCAAACGTGGCTGGTCTCAGATTGCATATCACTGATCCATGAAGGTCCATAAACATTATATATTATTATATATTATTATATATTATTATATATTATTATATATTATTATATATTATTATATATTATTATATTTTATTATATTATATTATATATTATTATATATTATTATATATTATTATATTATATTATATTAAATTATATATTATATTATATTATATCATATTATATTATATCACATTATATTATATTATATTATATTATATAGTCTGCTGGTAATCTAACAAAACGCTATGGAAGCTATGGCACGTGGCAGCAGACAGTTTACCTATTGAAAATGGTAATTGTCCCCAGCTTTCAAACGACTACCAGCTGGTATAGATGTCCGTGATTTCGCACCTGCGCCTTCAAGCACTCTTGTGACACCGCTTTCTTATTGCTCTCTGGATCACCCACCAGCAAATCAATCCTGCATCGCAGCTGGGTGATTGAATGCTTCACCATCCAAGGGCATTGCATCGAGGGTCCTTGCTCTGCTGTACGCATTGCATGCAGGTTTTAACTTTGACCTGGTGCCGAAAACTGCCGGTGGTGACTGTGCTTTTCTGACGATGTCCAAGAGATCTCATTTCCAACTAAGTAGCAGAACATGACATGATTCCGCAGATCTTTGCAAACTGAATCTCAAACCTGACTCCAACCCTTCCAAAAACAAACTCAGTACACTGTGTATTCTATGTCAGCCTGTTCGGTGAAGAGCAATCTCGAATTTCGACATTGGGACATTGATTTAAAAAGATATGGCAAGTTGTTGCGAGAGACAAACCGTGCTCACGTAACTAGTCTACTTGTTCCAAAGCTGGCCTGATGCTCGAGAGATTCCGATCCAACTGGCTCCTGATGTCCCCCACTTGGTTATTCGGGCAAAACAGGATTGATTTGTCAAGGGTGATGTTTTGAGGAAGCTCGGCGATGCCTGATCTTTGTCACTTCTGCCGCGCCCTTTGTCACCTTCAAGCGACAATCAACTCCTGTATCGGGACGTTGGATTCTGCAGTCTATACACCTGTTGACTCGTTGAAGTTCAAGCCAGTCACCCAGATCATAAATCATTCTTGCAACCCATCGGCAAGCCTGCTTCAAATCGTTCTCAGCGACATCATTGGCATGGTTGATGAGTTTCTCGCACAGCATCGAAACGCGAAAACACCAGGGTGTGCCCAGATCCAACAGTGACACCGTTGTTTCTCTTTCATTTTCTTCCACTCCGACACCGACAAAAAACATCAAAGAAAACCTCTCAGTTGAAAACTTCAACGGACTCTCCTGAATAGACTCCAAGTCCTGGGTGGACTTGCCTCCGCCGCCGAAGAGGCCTCTGCATTGGACAAGTGGACTTGTATCTGGGAATGCCTCAAAACTCAAAACTATTCAAAACATGGGGGTGTTGGTTGGGGGTCGTTGGATCGGGGTCTGGATTGGCCAGATCGGCGCGGCTGGATCGGAAATTTACATTGGTTGGGTTGGATCGGGACGGCATAAATCACAACATTGCTGACTACCCCAACCGCTCCGACCGCTCCGACCGTTCCGACCGTTCCGACCGTTCCGACCGTTCCGACCGTCCCAAGAGTCCCGACCATCCGGACCGTCCCGGCAGTCCCAACAAAGAACCCCTAAAAACCCAAAGGAACCCCTAAAGGAAACCTGAAAGAAACCCTAATGAATCCTAAACGAAACCTTAAAGAAATCGGTCCCGACCGTCCCGACCATTCATCCACGATGTTGATCCAAGATCATCTTTGACGCCGCTGATCTGAACCTTTGGATGTTGATTCCGGACGCTGCTCTGTGACGCTGATTCCTTCGACTCGATAGTTTCTGACCCCGAATTTACTGCAAAAGATAGGGTGCAAATGGCACCGCAAAAGTGGTCATGATTGATCATGTATGTAAGGTTGTCACAATCCATAATGCAGGTTGTCACAATCCAATTTTGATAGGTATGTAATGTTGAGATGTTTGAGTCACCTCCGATCTGATCTCAATAGACACCCAGGGCCAAACTTCTCTGATCCCCTTCTTCCAATGAAGAGCCACTAGGATGCAGAAATTCTGACCAAAACGGTTCATGTCACAGCTTTGGGCAAGGCATCCCAAGCCTAAGTATGCAGTGGGATCACCAGCTGGCATACTGCACAGGGAAAAAGTGACCTTTGCAATTTTATTCCCATTGTTTTTTTTGTGCTGTAATTTAGGGTTTGGTTGTCCATGTACCGTATGTATACAAATATATATATATATATATATATTCATATGTATGTAGTGTAGCTGGTATAGAGTAGCTTTTGAGACTATCTTTGGCTCCGTAGTCTGCTGGGAATTTGACCTTGGCCCCTCCTAGCTCGAGCAGAACGCAACGCAGCTGGTCGAATCTGCCATGCTCGTCGTGATGTAGGGGCCTTGTTCATAGAGAATTCAAGCCCTCAAAATCCCTCAGGTTTGAGTGAAACGAGCATCTTTTCTGCCGCATCCGCGCCCCAAGAGTGAATTTGACAATGTGCTCGCCCTACAAGTGAGCCGCAAAATCTCGCGACCATTGAACTTCTTCAGAGCCCTCAAATTCGGCGTCTCACAGACCAACTCTTCCGGATCGCCCAGATGCATGCACCTCAGGTCTTTGGGACGCCTTTGGAGTCTGGCTACCTGAATTAAAATTGGTTTGTCAGGAATCAACTACGAAGGAACTGCGCTACAACCACCATTAGGTTGCTTACATGGATAATTTTCATGATATAATGGCCTTTGCTATCATTAAATAATCGAAGGAAGTTTAGAAGTCAAACTTCCGACAATATGGACAGATGAAAGGCAGAGCAGGGCAGAGGCAGAGAGAAGAGAAAGATTAGAAGAGAGAAGATCAGAAGAGAAAGAGTCAGAAGAAAGAAGATGAAGATGCGCGAAAAGGTAGGAAAGTCGCGAAACACTGTGTTTTTCCAATGATTTGTGGCTCCGGAGGGTCGAAAAGTAGGCTCGCTAAAGCGGCGGGTGCGGAGCCAGCTGGCCAGATGAGAGATGAAAATTTGCACGCCGTTGTGGCGCGAAGCACATTTTTGAAGTCAAAATGCACAAAACACACCATTCTCGCACCACTTTTGGAAGTTGAGATGTTGGAAAAGTGCACGCCGTTGTGGCGCGAAGCACATTTCAAAGTCAAAATGTACAAAACACACCATGCTCGCACCACTTTTGGAAGTTGAGATGTGGAAAAAGTGCGCGCCGTTGTGGCGCGAAGCACATTTCGAAGTCAAAATGTACAAAACACACCATGCTCGGACCACTTTTGGAAGTTGAGATGTCAAAAAAGTGCACGCCATTGTGGCGCGAAGCACATTTCGAAGTCAAAATGTACAAAACACACCATGCTCGGACCACTTTTGGAAGTTGAGATGTCGAAAAAGTGCACGCCGTTGTGGCGTGAAGCACATTTCCAAGTCAAAATGTACAAAACACCATATGTTCGCGCCACTTTTGGAGGTTCAGATGTCGCTTCGCTTCGCTTCGCTACACTACATTACACTACACTACACTCCACTACACTACACTCCACTACACTACATTACACAACACTACAACTACAACTACACAACTACACTCCACTACATTCCACTACACTAAATTACACTACACTACACTACATTAATATACAGTACACTCCACTACACTACACTACATTACACTACACTGCACTACCTTCCACTACACTTCACTTCACTACATTACACTACACTCCACTCCACTACAACTACAACTACAACTACAACTACACAACTACACTCCACTACAATACACGCCACTACACTCCACTACACTAAATTACACTACGCTACACTACATTACACTACACTACACTCCACTACACTACACTACACTACATTACACTACACTACCTTCCACTACACTTCACTACTTTACATTACACTACACTCCACTACACTACAACTACAACTACAACTACACAACTACACTCCACTACAATACACTCCACTACACTCCACTACACTAAATTACACTACACTACATTACACTACACTACATTCCACTACACTCCACTACACTACACTACATTTCACTGAATGACACTGCACCACAGGTAGACAGGTAGACAGGTAGACAGATAGACAAATAGACAGATAGACAGATAGACAGATAGACAGATAGACAGATAGACAGATAGACAGATAGACAGATAGATAGATAGATAGATAAACAGATAGACAGGTAGACAGCTAGACAGATAGACAGATGAAAGAGAGGGAGAGAGATAGATAGATAGACAGACAGACAGATAGATAGATAGGTAATTAGATGGAAGAGAGGGAGAGAGAGAGAGAGAGAGATAGATCGATAGAGAAATAGATACACAGAAAGAAGATAGATAGATAGATAGAAAGATTTTTCCTTCCAAAGGGTGTCTCAAACTAAAGGGTGTTCCAAGATCTGGGTGCATCGGTGAGTGCAAAGTTTGAAACCTTGCTCAAAGCCAGGGCACTATAAGAAAATGGTTGTGGTGAGTGTTAGACTACACATACTGGGAGAATGACAGCAGCACATGCGATCAAGGTAATCACCCTTCGCACCGCAGCACCTGCAGCCAGCTGCTATTCTAAGACCAGTACCAGTCACCGGACACAAACAGTCAGACCCGAGCAGGCTGAGCTTCACAGTAAGTTTTGATTAAAGGCAGGGCTCGGGAGGGGCAAAGTGATAAACCATCTATCACAAGGCTCAGCCACATTTCACAGGGAAGCGCATTGATTCCGTTCCTTTTAGGTTTGAGCCATTCTTAAAGTATTATATTTATATATATATATGATTATATATATATATAAAAACTGTTTCCCTCCAAAAATTCTAATTGTATCTTTTTGGTCCTTTGTGACAAATCATTACAAACATTTTTTATATATTACAATATATAGTCAGCTCCCTCTTGATCTATGTATCTTACTATGTATCTATCTATCTATCTGTCTGTCTATCTATCTACTATCTACGATCTACTATCTACTAACTATCTATCTATCTATCGATCGATCTATCTATCTGTCTATCTCTCTCTCTATTTGTCTATCTACTATCTATCTATCTATCTATCTATCTGTCTGTCTGTCTGTCTGTCTATCTATCTATCTACTATCTGTCTGTCTGTCTGTCTATCTGTCTATCTGTCTATCTGTCTATCTATTTTTCTATCTATCTACCTATCTATCTATCTTTCTATCTATCTATCCATCTATCTATCTATCTACTATCTATCTGACCTATCTGTCTATCTAATCTATCTGTCTATCTGTCTCTAATATCTATCTATCGATCTATCTATTTCTCTCTGGCGTCATCAATGCGAAATATTTTCAAAATGATTTTTTTTGCATGCAAAATCAAAATGGAAACCAGGCCCCTCCAGCACAGAATGCCTCGAGGGCAAATAGCCCCAACAGTCTTGTGAAAACTGATAATTAAATTTTGAAAGCTGTTGGACTTGCTTCCATCCTTCTGTCTTGACACTTTCAAGCACGCCAAACGTTTGTTTCATGCCCTTGCAAAACTCTAAATGCACGACGTGAAATCTGTGTCAGAACCCGCAGCACTGTTTTGGACCACGCTGTGATGTGTCTCTTGGAATCGCGTTCAAGTTTGGCCAAGACGTTCTATCTTTAAATATCCAAACTCAGTCTGAGTCAGACTCAGCAGAATGTACACCAAACGGAGGCTTCAAAGCTGGGAGACAGCCCAGAAACTCATACACATCCTCAAGGCTTCGATGCGCTTCAAGCAACGCAGTGTGCACATCACCCTTGTTCTCAGAATCATCGGTGGGCAAGGTTGGTTGCTGCTGGGCATATCGACGTAGCTCCCTGAGGGAATCCAAAGCTTTGGGCAGGCGATCTTTGATATCCTCCACATTCCATGCGTGCTTCACCACCCAAAGCCCATAGCATCTATCAGGAAGATCCAATGAAGCCAAGTAGGCAGTAGGCCACCAAGTGCACTCATCGACGGAAACGCCATCATCACCGGCAGTTTGCATCCAATCTGCCCGGGCGATGGCCTGCCACAGTGTCAGAAGAGATTGCCCTGCTGCCGACAAACCAACTTGCCCTAAGATCATGGATAGAACAATCTCCAATCGCTGGATCTGTGACTCATGGCTCAAGAAGCCTTCATCATGCTTTTTGACCCAAGCAGCGATGAGCAGGACCAACTGCGCTGCCACCATGGCAATGCAACGACAAAACCCCAACAAAATTAGTTCAGCCTGAGCCTGAAGGCAATGGAGATTCGAAGCCGACAAACTAGATTCTATCATAATCAACCCTGCGCTCAAAGGTAGTCTCGTTGCAAAAGACATGGCCAGGCTTTGAAAAAGGACAGTAAGCAGCTGCATCAACATCCTCAATCAGAATACGTTAGCAGCAACAAATTGAACACGCTGCATTTCCATCATCAGGACACAAAACAACCTTGATGAGATTCACAGAGTTTGCCAGGACCGTGTTGGCGATGTCGCCTTTTTTACTCTGCTTTGTCATCGCTTCAGAAAGGAAGTCAAAAACCAGCCAAGCTGGAAGGTGGAGAATTGGCGTTCCAGCCACAACACCCAAAGCCAAATTTTCTGAACGCAAAAGTCTATGGCCACCGGGCTAATCCACATTCTGAGACTCCTCAGGAATTTCATCCTCCGGAACAACTTCAACATCATCGGCCCACGGCTCATCTTCCTCCTCACCCTCATTTTCTGGGTCGGCAAGGGAAGCCTCCGAAGGACCTTCGGCCTCACCAGCAGCGACCATCTCCGCAGCCTCTGCATCTGCTGCAGCTGCACCGGCTTTATCTGCTGCAGCTGCACCAGCAGCAGCAGGAGCCGGAACAGGCATGCCCCTCTTCTCCAACTCGCGCTCATAGAGTGCACGAAGCAGACCACCCTTAAAACATGAGAGACAAACATTGAACCAATCAAAATGAGGACATGGGAAACAGCAAACCGACACGGCCAATGGAAGCCCATCGATAAATAGTTGAAAAACAGACATTGACATTCGGGGGGAAGAGAAATGCCAAAGAAACTTACAATAAATGAAGAGAGACTTGAAAACTCATACTGAAGGTGGGAACCAACATTTTAGTAGAGGCTGGAATGTCTCAACATGCCCTGACGAGGGGCCACAATGCTCTTGACCTTGTCGACGGTCTGGCCGCTTTTCAAATGCTTAACCGCTATCTCCGCAACCTCCTGACTCTTCTCCTTGGCATAGAGCTTTCCACCGACCTTTGATGGGCATACAAAGAATGTGAGCAGGAGTGCAGGAGACCTCACATGTATTTGGTCCATCAAGTGACCCACGGAAGATGCTTTCCATTTGAACTACAACCAAAAACCGAGGGGCAGTGAACAACTGTTTCCCACCACTCTGCTTGATGCACCAGTTGTGGTTCTTGACGTGCCATGACGGGTTCTGGAGCTTGATCTTTGGATGGCCTGGTTGGACAGCTTATTAAATAGACGACTTTCGGAGAATAGATCCAAAAAATGCAACCTCCGGAAGTCAGAAAATCATGGAAGCGGAGAGAAAACACAGTGCCTTCACCATCATCACCATCCGCAGCAGCAGGGGCGGCAGTAGTCTCAGCTTCAGCTGAACCCTCGGCCAAAGCAGCAGCAGCTGGACGCTTCATGGGTGTCTTCTTCTCTTGGCATTTCTTCCCAGATCCCGTGGCCTTTGCCTTTGCCGTTGCCTTTGCTTTTACTTTAGCTTTTGCTTTCGTCTTCGGCTCCGCCAGCACAGCTGCACTGCTTGGGCTAGGGTTCTTCAAGGCTGACTTCCTAACCGACTTTGGCGCCGGCCTTGTTGGCTGTGTCTCCTGTCAAAATCCAAAACACAAACAACAGGGGATTGACTAAACGCCAAACATCAAAATACGTTGTGGGCAAATTACTTTACTTCGAGTTATCCCCACCATGACATCTATACGTTTTGTTACTGGCAAATCTTCTGGCATTCTATCTGACATATCTTCTGGCATTTTATCTGGCATATCTTCTGGCATTCTATCTGGCATATCTTCTGGCATTCTACCTGGCATATCTTCTGCAATATGTTCTGGCATATCTTCTGGCACTCTATCTGGCATATCTTCTGGCATTCTATCTGACATCTTATCTGGCATTCTCTCTGGCATACCTTCTGGCATTCTATCTGGCATATCTTCTAACATTCAATCTGGCATATCTTCTGGCATTCTATCTGGCAAATCTTCTGGCGTTCTCTCTGGCATGCCTTCTGGCATTCTACCTGGCATATCTTCTAACATTTTGTCTGGCATATCTTCTGGCATTCTATCTGGCATATCTCGTGGCATTTTATCTGGCATATCTTCTGGCATTCTATCTGACATTCTATCTGGCATATCTTCTGGCATTCTATCTGGCCGTTGGGGTCCAGCGGTGCACACTGAGCTGGGCAGGTCCCAGGTTGAGGTCCATTAGTGCACACTGTTCTGGGAAGGTCCCAGGTTGAGGTCCAGCGGTGCACACAGAGCTGGGCAGGTCCCAGGTTGAGGTCCAGCGGTGCCCACTGAGCTGGGAAGGTCCCAGGTTGAGGTCCAGCGGTGCCCACTGAGCTGGGAAGGTCCCAGGTTGAGGTCCAGCGGTGCACACTGAGCTTGGACGTTGGCGAAGAGCTTGGCGACGAGTTGGCACGGCGGAAGTGGAGGTGGAAGTGTATGCAGACATGGTCAAGGAGAAACTGGAGGAGGAGCAGGAGCAGGAGGACGAGCTAGCCGAGGAGGAGGAGGAGGAGGAGAACAACTGTGATAAAATCTAACAACCCTCACCTGGCAGGTGGGGAACAAATGCAAACAAACTTTAGGTTAAGAAATGGGTGCATCAAGTTATAGAAATGTGTGGATCAAGTTATATCAATTTATGCGACTCCTCGTCGTCGCTCAACTGGTCGACCGCCGCAAAGATTGGCATCGAAACAACGATCACACAGAGACACAATTAACCTGCAGACACCTTGATCGTTCAAAATTCTTGTCGGACCACACATGGCTTATGACACTTTGCAAGTAATGCGGCAGGCGGTACACGGCTGGCGCATTCAGACTCACAAGCACACTTGTCAACACATATTTGAAACCATTCATTTTGGAACTGAACGACAGGTCCATCGCATCGAACTGCCAGCTGGAGAAATGATTGCTGAGGCTACCCGTGCCATTGGAAAGGAAATTCAATTAGTAGGTAGGGTGAAACGAAGTTCACTCTGGAATCACATCAAGGCAGCCTCAGACTTCCTTGCTTTAAATGAAAAAAATTGAACTGGCCGATCCGCCAGCCACAGAGACCAGAGCACCTTTCCTTCTGATGCATGCTGGCCATCTGGCTAGACTGACAAATTGCACCACGTCTGCGAAGGCAGCCGAATGCTGCAAGTCAAGAAAACCTTGGGCTTCAAGACCTTGATCGTAGCTGGCGATGTTTGCACATCCACCTGACAAATAAAGATTGTGTGAGGAACTGCTGTCAACACAACTTTGAAACCTTCAAACCTCAGGAACCGTTCAAAAAACTTTGAAACTTTTCCACCCCGTGGTGATGAATCGCAACAAAATGTCAATTGGCTGTTTTCTTCCAAGGCCTCCCACACCACTGATGCCCGCTTGTTGTTGATGATTTTGTCCATGTGCCCCACAAAGATACTCCACAAAGTGGAGTGGCGCAACTCAGAGTCGGTCTGCTCGCGGGCTGGTTTGAACACATTTGTCGCCATGGATCCAACAGGATCAACTTGGTACCGGAAGCACAGAGGTACTGAACCAGCAGCACCCTGCGGGGGTAGCTTGTTGGTGCTCAAATTCCAAGGACATGACAGGGAGGGAATATGTCCACTTGTCTATTTTTTGGTAGGCAACAAAACACACTTCTTCAATATTACCATTCTGTATTCGGCCTGGTTCATACAACATTGTGAACGCCTGAACGCCTACAACTGTTTTGCAGTTGCTGATAATTACACACTGAGCTGGTTGGCTGGCTGGCCTCAACCATGCGCGGTTTGACCTGATGGTCTGGAACATGCACTTCGCTCAACCCGTTGTCGACTGCCAGCTTTCGGAGAAATTGACAAAGAGGCACCAACTCCTTGCTGTAGGCGATGAATGCAAGATCATCGGCCAAGCGCCAGGGGACACCATGCACGATGTCCTTGATTTCACCTTCAAAATGCAAAGAATACAAGACAGGTTGAAACGAGAAAGAGACAAACAGCATTTTACAGGACTAGCAAAGGATTCAGTCTTGAACTGCAAAGCACATGTGGTTCTTTGAGAGTAAGATTATGACGGACTTCTTTCAGTTCAAAAGCTCCACGCCCAAAGCCGAAGAGCTCCATAGCTTCGTAAGTGCAATCCGCATCTGTCAAATTTCCGATCCACAGCGCATATGACTCATCAATCACAATGGCAGGCTTCTTTCCAGAGAAGCCGCAGTAAGCTTTCCTGCCACAAAATGAGATGTGAGCAACATTCAAATGAAATTAAAAAATGTGACCTCGGACTTTGTAATTCCAGGGCCTGACAGCCGAGAAGTTGGACACAGCAACATGAGGGAGATCAATCTGGCGGGCAGGGTCCAGAGGCGCTCGCTCTGAATCAACGCTGAAATCGCAAAAGCCTCCAGCCCGGCCACCACCCGTGCTGGCTGGCAGGGGTTGGCTTGCCGCTGGGAACCTGTTCTTGAACTCCTCTTTCAGCTCTTTGATTTTTGTATGCTCGCTGGTTCCTTCCTGGAATCTGGACAGCAGAGCATCTGGAAAGATGGGGGCTCCGTTGGCCCAAGCAAGCAAAGACAAGTTCGGTTGCTGCTGGCCCTGCACAGTGTCTTCCCTTGCAGGCCGGTTTTTCGCTGGGCTCAAATCAGGATTGTTGTCCCAATGCTCGTAGACCTTGGACCTGATGTCACCTGAGTTGGTGTCAAAGTCATTGAGCACATAGGCGAAGTAATGAACAGTGCGGCCTTGTTGGCTTAAATTCCTAGCCACAGCAGCTCGCCCAAACTCACAGAACCTGAATCGCACAGGAATATACAACACACGTAACACAAATAAAGAGAACCGGGGAGGAATATACAACACACATACCACGAAAGAAAAAGTTTTGAAAGTGAGTTGCCCTGAAACATTCCCTTTGTCTTAAATTTAGACCTTATACTTATACCATCTCCCCTTTGCACCACTGCCCAGCCTGTTCGGCAGACAGTCCACCAGCAAAACCTTGTCGGCCGGGTCCAGGTTCATGCCGGACAACAACTCTGCAATCATAGTTTCATGGCACTGGATGCCCTTCCTAAGATGATAAGTTTACAACATGAACATCAACACTGATGCAACATGAAACCAGAGAAGTCCAAACGAAAAAAAAATCACCAAGTGCCCAGGATATTGAAAAACTCTTGCAAATCAAAAAACGCCGAAGCAAAGAGCTAGGATCTGTTCCACACGCGCACTTGCGCCTGGCTTGGTCTCGCTGTCGTACCCCAAAAAATCCGACATCCGGATCAGAGGGGCTGGTCCCAGCTTCCCTTCGCGGACGGGAACACATTGATGAAAAGCATGGGCCGCAAAGTGACTGTGGAATGTAGCCAAGGCCAGCTGATGCAAATTCCTGGCATCCCTGGCTGTGCTGTCTGGCTTTGTGTAGAGGACTTGGATCAAGTTGATCACTGACAACCCTCCTTTCAGCAGTGCATTCTCAAGTTGCTGCCGATGTTTCACCACTGCAGACTCTGACGTTTGCTTCTGGTAGACAGGAAGAAGGACCAAGCCGATCATGGTACTGCTCATGGACAAAAGGGTTGCAAATGCTTTCAGAGAGGCCGCCAAGTAGGCTGCATTTGCTGGGAACACCGTTGCGTCCAGAGTAGCGATCACATACCTGCGGACTAGTAATATTGATCAAAAAAATACTTGCACTATCGGTATTGTTTATACATAAATATATATATATAATATGTATATACTATATCAATGATGAATTTATATCATATAAATATGCTAAATATAGATATTATATATTTAAATGTACATATATTATTTACATATAGTATTGATATAATATATATATGTATATCATATAAATAATACATATATATATTTAAAAAAACACAAATAAATATATATATATATGTGTGTGTGGGTAGATTCTCATATATCACTCAAAGAAACTAGTTGATCAGAACAGAAATCAAAACAATCTCGAAAAGTTGCCCCTGAGTGCAGCCAAGCTGCTGGTCTCCCGCATCTCGAAACTGTTCCTTCCATTTCAAGAACGGCGGAATGGGAATGTCCGCAGTGTCATCGACGCTCACCAACTTGCAGTGCACATCCAGCCACTTCTCCACAAAATCAGCTCCTTTCCTCAAGATGGGACCGAGAAAAATAGAAGCCGCTAAGTGGCGAAACAATGCTAAAAAAACCTGGCACAGTCAACTACAGTGTCGGATCCAGTCTCCATGGTGGGCTCAAATGGGTAGTTGCTAAAAGTGGCCACACCCGAAAAACAGCTATATAGATGCAAGTTGAAAAGTCAGGTTGCTGCTGGCGTTCACGAAGATACTTCATGTCCAGCGCGTGTTCCTGAGCCCTTTTTTCATCGGGCTCCAAAGCATTGTCCAGCAAAGCGAAGTCGCTCTCGATCTTGGAAACGAGAGATTCAAGATCAGCTTGGCGAAGTTTTTGGGCAAGCTGCGCCTCCTTCTCATCTTTCTCATTCTGGATGGCAGCTTCAATCTGCGCAACGAACGGCCTCCAACTCAAGGAAACAAATGTTGAGGCACAGTTTCTTATGTTTTCCCAAGAACATAGTAACCATAGTAATTTGCATGGTGCAAGAATCAAGCAAACGGTATTTAAAAAAATTCGGCAATTTGCAGTCCTGAAACTCCCGACTGACTTGATGTCTCCCGGTGGGACACTGCTGGAAAGCACGTGAAGCAAGTCGGCATCCATGAAGCCCTTCATGAACTGATCCATAAGTCTGTCGCGGGCGTCGTTGAAGCTGTTGGCCGGAGACATCCTCTGCAAAACGGACAGGAAATGTAGGAAACACCCACCAGCTTGGTGGATCAACATGGCATCTTTGAATCCAAAAGCCTTGCGCAACTGCTCTGCGGTGCCGTCGTGATCAGCAATCAGCCTCTGGACCACAAGGGTTGCCTCAGCTATCCAGCCAGTTTCAAAAGCTCTGGCATAGAAGGAGGACGCACCAAGCAAACACATGTACTTAATTGAAACGAAAGACTAAGACGTTGTCGCCTCCATTCCGCAGCTCATCTTTCCAAGCCTCTGTCTGTCCTGTCCCCGAAGTCCAGGACGACTCAAAAATTCCCTTCGACAACACCTCGTGGTTCAAGAAGCGCTGCATCCCGCGTTGCTTCACTGCATCTTCCAAGATGGTAACAATGGGGTGCGCAATGCTTGTCATGAGCGCTGACACGGCTTCCGACTCAGCTTTGCCGATCGAGAATGCTTTTGCAATACCAGTTGCTTGAGACCATTCCTGAATTGCGATTGGAAACAAGATCATCTTGCATTGTGCCTGAAATGCAAGCTGGGGGTGATTAAAATCATTAACTGTCATTGTGAAACAAGAAGCTTTGAATTGTCTCTCGGCTGATCCACCTCCCGCCCGTTGCAATATCATCACCTGCCGTCGAAAATGAAAGGCATTCGGCTTTGCCCTGGTGGCAACCTGCATCAATCCAACACCTGCCAACAGTGGGGCGACAAGTGTTGAATCTGCTTGGGGCATGAAATCGCAGCAATGTGCAAAATTAAACAAATCTGGGTGACGAAAATGCTAACAACATCAGTCAACAAGCCATCCGTTGAAGTCGGGCCTCTGTTGGCATTGACAGTGGCCTGCACATCCTTGTACTCCACAAACGCAGCATGAACAGTGGCAAAGGTAGCCTGACAATGGATGTCGCAACTCAGATGGAAGACCATTGAAAACCTTTTGAAACTGAGTATGGGAGACGCAATGGAAGGGAAAAGAAAAATGTCTAACAGTTCTGAATCTCCCCACTTGGGCCGTGGGCTTCCAATTTGGAACCATCATTTTTTTCGCTAGGATGTTTAAAAAAAAATCTTTGTGGCGTAACCCAGGCAAGCAATACAACAAGAGAAAGGTCAGTCAAGAATACAATGTAGCCATGACATTAGTCAATAACATTTTACGGCTTCTGTTTCCAACCATTTTGTTTTGTTGATATCTGCTTGAATTTTTGCCATCTTCGTTGTCAGTTCAATAAAACAACAGATTTTGACTTAAGCGTCTTCTCACACCTCCACAATGACTAAAGAAACTCGCACAGAACTCCAAGCAAAAATCTCTTCAAGATGCCAGTGGGCCTTGATGCGGTGGGAGATCTTGTCCTCAAGCTTCAGTTCACGCACTGCCTGGAGGCAAATGAGGGCCAACGTAGATCTTTTCCACCCTTTGCAGTAGCCAACGGAGAAGGGCGGTAGCAGTGCACCACCTGTCAAATGAAGATTTTACAAACAGAACAGAATCTAACCACAAAGGCTGCATTTATTCCTCTTACAGATTCTGGCCTCCAATCGTCGAAGGCAATTCCGAGTAAGATGAATCCAGGTAAGCCTTTGGGACTGTGCAAGCAGAGATTTTCTCCACCCCCGGAGTGTTTGCATCTGTCATGAACCTGAAGGACACACAGGAGGAAGTCAAACAAGAAACACAGCAAGGACACACAAATCTTCAAATTTTGTAAGAACATTCCAACAAATTCGCAACCAAGAAACCCCTCCAGCAACATCAATTCTACAATCATGGATGCTTGCTCCGGCTCGTGGTACCCTGAGCAGCCAAAATCCTGCCGCCACCCCAGCATCCAGGGCCGAAGCACTTGTGCACCCTCTGCTTTGGTGGCATAGAGGAGCCTGTCAAAACAACAAGTGCCGAAAAGAGTAGTGAGTAGTTTGAAGGAAGGCAATGTGTTGAAGCACAAATGTTTGAAGTGGAATGGTACGTGACATGAGCTCTAGACAAACAAGGAAGAAAACCAAACTTGCTAGGTCACCGACGTTGGGTCAGCAGGAACAAACTGGTCCACCCACTCGGCAAACTCAAGCATCTTCACCTCAGGGTTGATGGTTTCGATCAAAGGGAACGAGGCACTGACGCAAGCAACCAAAATCACCAAGCCTCGTCATCATACACACTGCTAAGATATGCGTCAGGGCCACCCTTTGGAAAGACAGTCTTCGTCAACCTTGGGCAGGACCAAAAAAACGAAATAATTCTGGCATAGGTTGGGCTTCTCTAGGCCCTTGGCAAAACTAGGACCAGGCAATCAATGAAGTAGTAGTCAACCACTGCTAAAAATTAAGATGCGAAACCAACTCATGAACCCACTCGTCAAGTAAGAAACCAGTCAACCACCTCCGGGATGTGAGGATGTTCCTCAACTTGTTGCGGAGAAAGCCTTGCTGTTTTGGTCTTACTGCCTCTGCCGTTTCCGGAAGACTTCCGCTTCATGGGGGGCATGGTCGCGCCCGGATGCCTTCACAGCAAAAAAAGGTTTGAACCTAATTTTGTGTTGCGACAAAACGAACAAACTGAGAGATTCAAGGGGCATCAGATCCACACAGACAACCCGATGTCAAGAGTGGTGGATTAGCTTTTACCAACAAGTGTCGGATTTCCAGCTCCCAGAAAGTGTCGGATACCCAACTTCCAAAAAGTGTCGGATTTCAAAAAAGCAAAAGTGACGGATCCTACCTAGGATTGGACACTTAGGAGCTCCAAGGGACACATTCCAACTTCAATAATAACCAGACACTCCTGGAAGCACCAAAAACAAATACAAAAAGTGTCCAATCCTATCTAAGATCCGACACTTCTTGGACATAAAAATCCGACACTGTTGAAACTTTGAAATTGGACACTTGTTGGAAATATAAATCCGACACTTTTGAAGATTTGAAATCCGACACTTTTGAAGAGTTGAAATCCGATACTTATCTCACAGCATTGGTCTCAAACTGGCATGCCCAACCAAGGCCACAGTAGTGACCGATCCAAGGTGTGATCGGACACTTCTGGCATGGTCAGCTCAACAATTTGTAGACATCAAAAAAAAATACTGAACCATATTTATGGGTTAACCCCACTGCTAGTGTCCGATCCGACCTGGGATCAGTCACTTTTCAACACCTTTGTAACACTAAGCTATAAGTGACTGATTCCATCCTGAATTTTGATATGCACCCCTTAGGTTACGCTGCCGCACCCGAAATGCCGAACCGTTTAGGGTTTAGCTTCGCGCCAACATTTAGGGTTTAGCTTCGCGCCAACATTTAGGGTTTAGGTTCGCGACAATGTTGAAGGCTTAACTTCCAGTTTTGAAGTTGTTTGTTAGCTTTCTCAATACCCCAAGAGCAGCAAAATTTCTTCCAGCAGCTGCAGAAAAAAATCAACGGCCTTTGGCCTTTGCTTTGGGTTTGGCTTTGCCTTTCCCCTTACCTTTTCCTTTACCAGATCCTGCCGTTCTGCCGGCAACAGACATGGCTCTCTGAGAGATTTGCAAAGCCTCCTCCCATGGCACACCGCGTGCCCATGCTTGGGCAGCTGTATTTAAAACTATGGCTTCGCGAGCACTGCGCACGTAGAGGCGAACTTCTTGATTGTCGGCGGTTTTCTTCACCATCCTGAGCAACTCTGCGGGTAGAAACACCCACTGATTGACATGGGAACCGGCAACGAAAGACTCTCTGACCTAAGTACCTTCTTCAATTGCCGCATATTTCTCAGAAACAAACACATTGAACGATTTGCAACAACTGGGGAAACCAAACCCTGTTTGAAATATGCTTTAAGCGACTTTTCAACTTATTAAACAACAAACTAGGAGCTTGATTTGGTTCTCTCCCACGGTCAATGGATCTGCGCTTTGCAACTCAGGGCGGCCATCAGCTGAGAAGGGGCCGCTCTTCACCATTAACCTGACCCCGAGTACAATGGAAATTTCAGGAGAAGGGAATAGTAAACGCACCAAAAAAAAAGATAGAATACAGCCGAATATAATCTCTTCAGAAACGAATCCACACGAAGAAGCGGGCAAGGAGGAAGATCTTTGTTGACCCAGGATTCAAGCCAATCAGCCGCTCTGCCCAGATCATGCATTGGGTCCCGCAGGAGCGCTAAGCTTTTGTCAATCTGAGCTTTCAAATCTTTCCCGATGGGTCGAGTCTCGGCAATTACTGCAGGGACACAAAGGACAACCAGCAGGTATCAACACAATGGAATCATTCATTGATCACGCCCAAAAACTTATGACAAACAGTTTTCACCCCCTTCCTGCAGGCAAACCAAGAGGAGCTCGCTGGAGAGCCAACTGCCTGGGGTACAGCAAGAGGCACCGGCTATACTCTTTGCTGGCCATCCATCGTTTCGTCCTGCACACGGCCAAGAAATTGCCAAGGTAAGGAAAGTGGTTAATGTTGCTCCACTTCTTAGCCAACCCAAAAATGAACTCTGACATCAGTTCTCTTGTAAAGGACTGTTCTGATAATCATGCTGATAATGATGATGGTGCTTTTGATCCAACCATGTTGCCATGCAATCCTCAAAATCACATCCCCTGGATGCTCTGGCCACCCCCAAGAACTGCTGTCAACGGCATGGCCCTGAAGATCTTCATCAGATCTGCGGTTGAACGTAAACTCATGCGGTGCCCCAGGCCCACCGATGCCGGCCACATGAAATGGAACTGCACCAGCATGGAACCCTTTCCTTGGCACACGATTTTAGATCAAACACTGCTGCGACATTCAAGCTGAAATGAACAGATTGCAAAACTGAGGTGACAGTAAGATGGATAGACAAATTGGAAAGCAAAAACCAAAGTGTCCAATCTCGAGTTTGCGCCATGATGGTCACATAGCTGTGGGCCTCATGAGGTCGACCCATCCCTGATGCGAACTGCTTGATCGAATCCAAAAAATCATCAGGCTCTTGGGCGACTTTCAACCTGGATAGGTGGCGAGCTAGGCGCCCAAAAGCTTGATCCACATCCTCATGTGAGTGCCCGGATCTGAGGAACCGGACACTCACACTCTTGAGGTTGCTGCATGAAGTCTGCAAGGCAGCCCATCTCATGAAAGGGTTATTTTTGACCTCTCTGCATGTGTTATCTGCGTGGATGCTCAAAGAGCATCCACGCAGACACACTCCATGTTCGGACTCAAGGAGATGGAGGGCATGGCACATCGTTTCAATACTTGCATTGCTGTCCTTCATGGTGTCTGGGTGAGAAATCGTCCACAGTGTGAAGTAGCCATGAACCAGGGTTAAAGAAACGTGCAACTTCGGCCGGTGGATCTTGAACTGCGCGAACTCCTTTGACTGCAACCATGGACTGCGAGGTAGCGACACCTTTCCTTGGTCCATTCCATCTTGGATGATGCATATAAAGCGACCATCTCGTTGCCTGGATAGAGATCTCAATCTATAGTACTCCAAACGATCCAGATACTGTTCACGAAGATGTTGCCAATAGAAAGTCTGCTGCTGGGACCGGGCCAGCAAATGCCGGCCGAGACTCTTGATGAGATGTCGGTGTCTGACACATGTCCCGCATTGTGCATGCTGACTCGTTCCTCTGATCTGCATGAAGCCAAAATCGCTAAGCCAAACCTAAGTTTTGCTATCTTAGACAAGATAGCTCTATCCTGGTGCGTGCAAGTATATTACATCTTACTCTTGACTAACCCATGGCTAAACAAGAATCTGCACCAGTCAAGGCAATATGATTTTTTGTTTGACACATAAAACTTGAAAATTACTTTACTTCGAGTTATCCCCACCATGACATCTATGCGTTTTGTGACTGGCAAATCTTCTGGCATTCTATCTGGCATAGCTTCTGGCATTCTACCTGGAATATCTTCTGGCAGATGTTCTGGCATATCTTCTGGCAATCTGACATTTTGTCTGGCATTGTCTCTGGCATACCTTCTGGCATTCTATTTGGCAAATCTTCTGGCGTTCTCTCTGGCATTCTATCTGGCATATCTTCTAACATTCTATCTGGCATATCTTCTGGCATTCTATCTGGCATATCTCATGGCATTTTATCTGGCATATCTTCTGGCATATCTTCTGACATTTTATCTGGCATATATTCTGGCATTCTATCTGGCCGTTGAGGTCCAGCGGTGCACACTGAGCTGGGCAGGTCCCAGGTTGAGGTCCAGCAGTGCACACTGAGCTGGGAAGGTCCCAAGTTGAGGTCCAGCGGTGCACACTGAGCTAGCGGTGCCCACTGAGCTGGGCAGGTCCCTGGTTGAGGTCCAGCAATCCCACTGAGCTGGGAAGGTGTCAGGTTGAGGTCCAGCGGTGCACACTGTGCTGGGAAGGTCCCAGGTTGAGGTCCAGCGGTGCTTGGCGAAGAGTTGGCAAGGCGGAAGTGGAGGTGGAAGTTGATGCAGACATGGTCAGAGACTGGAGGAGGAGGCGGAGGAGGAGCAGGAGGAGCAGGAGGAGCAGGAGGAGCAGGAGGAGGATAGCAACTGTGATAAAATCTAACAACCCTCACCTGGCAGGTGGAGAAAAACACATACTGATGATGAGCCGAGTAGGAATGGGCAAAAGAATTTGAGAATTTTATTTTGACATTCTGGGGTTAAAAATCAAGGCTTGAGTCTGAGCCACGATGGGTAAATATGAAGTGTGACTTGGGGCTACTACATGGCCAGTCCCCCTTAAATAATGGTGCTGGACTTCTGGATCTTTGATGTGGAGAAGGAAACCTTTTTAGATTGAAGCACAAGGCACACGCCAAAAGGTAGGGAAGCTTCCAGGCTTCTCCAAAGCAGAATGCATTCGGTACTGCTCGTGGTACTCCTTCATGGATCCTGGAGGGAGCCACCGCTCTTCGATAGTGGATGATGTTCGGCTCAAATTGATCTGAACTTGCCCTTTGTATTTCCGTGGTTTAGCCTTCGGTCTCAAATCCACAGTCTCCAGCAACTCCTCTGCACTACGCTTCTTGGTATTGGATTCCAATTCTACAGCATAAGGATCTTCCAAGTTGATAGACACCCCGGTTGAGCCCCCCAGCTCATCTCTGAAATCTGGCAAGGTCTCCGCAACCGACTCGTAAATCAATTCCAGAAAGGAGCAAATGTCAGATCGAACTTGGGAACTGTCGGTCCCTATCCTCGCATGGGGCTGAGAAAGATATCTCAAATCCACCGGTGGCGCATCCCGGCGATCACGAGCTGCTCGCCACAGTTTCTCAAATCGCCGTGATCCTTAAAAGTGCACAGCTGCTGAAATGTAACAGTCTCTGATCCTCAAAAAATCCTACATGCACTGGCTCCAGCGTGGGGAAAACAATGACAGCAAGTAATAACTATCAACACTTATAATAAATAAAGGTATAAATATAAAATGGTTCAGTTGAAATAGAGTTTAGGAGCCCATGCAGTGAAGTGTCTGCCAAGTCCGGCGACAAGTCTGGAGGCCCAACAAAGTCCAACAAGTCAAGAAGTCATCCCCGGAGCGAATCACCAGCTCTTTCATAAGATCAAATGCCTAAAACAAGGAACAGGCCCAGCAACGGAACAATAGTGATTAAGGTAGACCTATGCCACTAGAACACGTTGAAACAAACAAAGTACCGTGTTGGAGGCAAGCCGCAATCTGGTCTTGGTCCAGCTTAGCTAAGCTCAGCCAATGGGCCAGATAGTCTCGATACTCCTGGAACTTTGGCTCAGCCAAAAACTGATTGGCGCAAGTCTTCTGTTTGCAGCCGCAAGGCTTGGAAAGCTTGGTGGAAGGCACATTTGGATCTTGAACTAGTTTCTGGAAGCTTCTATCATCTTCTTTCTGCTCCTTCCTGCGTCTAATTCGCCTTCTCCTCGTTTGGGGAGGGGGCTTGGCCTCACCTTCTGGCCCTGCTTCGTCACTGCTCAAGCCATCGACAGGGTCAAAAATCATTCGACCTAGTCCTAGTTGACTTAGATTGTGAATTCCATCTTTTTCAGATTCGGTTATAAGGTTGATGAAACACACACTGTCTAGCATGACAAGCCTATAATTTTATGTATTCCTCTCCTGCCATTGAGTTGGCTAGAACTAGAAAGCTGCTTTGAGCCCTTGAATTGACGGATTCGACAGGATGTCAGTCAATTGCACTTGACCGTGCACCTGTTATGTGCCGCACCCGGAGCACACCCAGTTTCTTTCCCATTTCCCGAGCTAGCTCTGGAACAAAGATCGGACATGTTTCTTTTGGAAAAGAAGCAACGCAGTGGCAGCAGACTATCAGAAATGGCTTCAACATGATTTGGGCAAAAAGAAGATTGAACCATATTGAACCTCGAAAACCTTGCACATCTAAGACCTAGCACCTGCTGCTGCCTTCATGCGTCAAAATGTCACATGTGGCACTGTTGTTGCCAAGCAAAGGGAGCAAACTGATGCAGCCTTGAATGCACGCAGCTGAGAATTTGAGGCCCAATTTGTCGATGCATTTTCCAAGCAAAAATTTGAAAATTTGAAGAAAGAATAACAGGACAGAACATCATACCTTTGAAGGGAAAGTGATTGCCAAATGAAGCACAGTTCAGATTGAATGCAATACACTTTTCAGAGGTTGAAAACTTACGTATCATAACATGCAATGGAGTATTCATTTGAAATACTTTCAATCATTTCTGTGGTAGTTCTCAATTTCAAGGTGCTCCAAGCCCTCAAAAACGAACCCTCTTCAACATTTATAAAAAGTTCTGGAGCGCCTTCTTGTGTGTGTGCGCACTGTGCGCACTGTGTGTGTGTGTGCACTGTGCGCATGCGATGCCTGCATGTGGCATGACTTGAGCTTCCTATCGCTGAAATACATTGCCCCAGACTCAACATGATGCGTCCATACTGATTCTACAGGGGAGGCTTTGTTTTTGTTATCACTAAAAAAATAAGCAAGAATTCTTGGCGCAAAATCTTTGGCAGGAAAGTTGTCCGACATTTACCGCAAAGGAGCCAACATAGACCCAACATGACTCAACATAGGCCTAAGATGCATCCAATGCGGGGCAGGATTGAGTCTACAGAGAAAGTTTTGAATCTTTTTTGATCAGCGCTAAAAATGTGAAATCCTTGCCTCAAAAGTGCCCAATATTGACCGCAAAGGAGCCAGCAACATGACCCAACATAGGCCTAAGATGCATCCAATGTGGGGCAGGAATTTTTAGCGCGAAATCCTTGTCTCCAAAATTGCCCACCATTGCTGGCAAAAGGTGCATTGGGTGATCCGTGGCCCTTTGTTGAACAGCTATTTGGGAAAAAATAAACTCCTATGTAGGGCCAATGTTGGGCTAACTTGGGGGTCCTGGGCCAATTGGGTGTCAAAGTGCGCCAATTTGCAACCCTCAACAAACATCTGTTTTGTTTTTTTTCTGCTCTGATCACTTGGGATGATATGCCCAATGTGCCAGCTCGCAAAGCTGCGAAGGCCAAGGTGCCTTGCATCATGGGCCCGATTTTTGAAAACAAAAAATCAAATTTGAATCAAACGAATCTCATAGCATGCGTGTTTTAGCAGTGTGGAAGGTTCGCGCGCGCGCCTCTGGGTTTTTAACACAAACCGGTCTATCCACTAATTTTTTGCTTGTTCTGCTGGAAGGTTGGAGGGAACATTGAATTGGAGGATGTTGCACGTTTGCGGGAAGCAACGGGAAGGCGTCAGATGGCGTCAGGGTGCTGACCATCAGAAAAAGTGCCATATATGGGCTCGGTTATGGTTTAGAAAAGATTTTTGTTGAGCGGAAGGCGTTCTAAGGCGTTCTTGTATCAAACCCAAAACCATTGTTTACTCACAACAAACTTTGCGGTATTTTGTCTGGCATCAACCTTTCCTGCTAATTTTCCACTTGGGTTGGTCCCCAAAAAAGGCCCCCACAAGTCCCAAAATCTCTCATAAATTACAGGGAAAACACTGTTTTTTGGGGACTTGTGGGGGCCTTTTTTGGTGAACCAACACAAGTGGAAATTTACCAACCTTTCCCGAAAGACAAGAACCGACTCAGGGGAGATGTAAGGAGAAAACAGGACAAACACGAGATAACACGGTGATATGATCACAGGAAATAAAAACTGAAAACCAGAGGTTGCAGTGCTGCACAACAAAATAGGCACTCAAGACTGCGTCATTTGCTTTCTAATTTGCTAAGAGATCCACCGAAAGCGTGACTTGCAATGCCAGTTCACTTCAAAGTTGTTCTCAGCTGCTGTCAGCTATTTCCTCAAAACTCTTGCCATGAGTCCCTGAAAAGCATTGCAATGCCTCGCTTCAACATGACATCCAAAAATGAATTTCAAACACTTGACTTTCTAAACCTTGGCCATGTCATGCTGGGAAGACATTCGCTGGAGTAAATTCAATCCCAGCTTGCCCCCAGCGGGTACCACAATGTTACCCAATGCATGCATTCGATTTCGATACTGATCGTCATAATCCGACTGCAACCAGCGATGAAGAGGCAAACGGTTCAGAGAGTTCCAGACGGGCTGCAAAAACGAAGCCAAAGGGCGCAGGGCAATGTCCTGCCCGGCACGTATCAACAAAATGGACACCATCAAATTCTCAAACTTTGAGTTTGAATGTCAATTTTTGATTTGAAATTAGCCCCAAGCCAAGCCTGCCACATTTCGAAGCCCGGCCGGTGTGCCAAGAAGAAGACGCGTGTCCGCTCAGCCTCACAGCCACTGCTATGACAATTTTTGACTCTGGATCTCAGAAGAAGCACAAACTTCTCAGGCGCTGGCAGCCAATCCGCACTGTGCAAGATTCGTGGAAGCCCAGTGCAACGTAAGACCACGCTCATTGCATTCCTGACATCATGGCTGGAAGGATTTGAAAACTGATAAAATGCTAAACTCGGGACATGAAACAAAACCCCATGCTCGGGCTCATGGATCCTGCACGATGTAGTGGATCACTGCACGCATGGTCTGCTTGCGGTGCAAGATGGAGCCCACATTTTCCATAAATGCAAACTGCCTGACAATCGCTACATCAAACTCCATGTAAACCCATGAAACACAACTTGAAAAAATAAATGCTGACAAGTGCAAACAACCTGGGTCCAATCTCACCCAGCTACGCGTTATCCAACGAATCATAGATTCTGAAAATGTGCGACAGCAATGCGCTGCGACCATCTCCTAAGCCTCCTTGATGCCCTGCGCAACTGATTCCCTAAGCATCAATCAATGATTGGAGTCAGCATCAATCAAGCATTGGATCAGTGGGACTCGGGGAAAGATATCCAAAGCAATGAAAGGCTTCAGAATGTCGAAAGCACTATGCCCCCATCATGGCAAATCGGTCTAACAACTAACTGAGCATCTGGCTTGGCAAGGAAAGCCCCCGCCGCACCCATGGGCTGCGCAGCCAGCCCCGTCAAAGCTGCACACGTCTGTGAAAACAGGACATTTAGGAAGCAACCCGTCCTCCATTCGCAGCTTCAAGATGCGTTGGCAAAACGCATCTTTCTCCACCTTCAAACACTTGCTCAATCCTGTTATATTATAGTTATAGGAAGTGTACTTATAATGTTTGCATGGCTTCAGTTCTTTTGCTTATTATTGAGGCGCAGGCCATGCAAACCGGGTAGAACAGCCTCAAGTGAAATATAAAGGCAAACCCTGCAACAGATCAGCAGCTCAACTGGAGCGATGGGGGATGCACATGAGATCACCGCACTGAATCTAAATCAGACAGACTTTTTTTTTTATCTCTGGCTGCTGTGCAAGCGGGGCTTCTTCGCAGACGTCTCAGGAGTAACCTCAGCAACAAAAAAAACGATGAGCTTGGATGAGAAGGACAAATCGGCCCACAAAGTTTGGCAAGGTATCAAATGGGTTTGCAACAGCCTCAGGAAATACGTTGAGTTGACTCACAATCTTGTGCCCTCTAAAAGTGTGCGGTCAGCCAAAGCACTGCTGACTGAAGGCTGGCTGAAATGTTTTCTACAGCGCTGTGCCCTTGGCGGCGTTGCGAACACCGTTCCTCCCAACTCCACATCCACCTGCACAATGCACATGATGAACCCAGACTGAACTAAGATCTACTGTTTGGGACAAGGATCATCGACCAAAAAAACTCAGGAGAGCACTCATGTCCATGCCAATTTGTCGCAATCGGAGTGCCTTTCGGGACCCTGAAAGCAGGACCGCACGGAAAACACATCATGAAAAACAAACAAACAAACTAACTAACTAACTAACTAACTAAACAAACAAACAAGATCTTGCAAAGTTAAAGATTGAATCTGTTGGGCCCCGCCTTATCTGGTTGATACCGACACACCGAACGACTGCAAAGCGAACATCTGAGGAAGCGTAGCGATGCGAGTCTCTGCCGCAACTGTCCATGGCGGCCCAACTGTCAAATTTCAAATTACTGCTCTCACTGGTGGTGCGCACATCAAATTGCCTTCTCTGCGAACTTGAATTGAAGAGCTGCTTGATCCACAAATCGAAAAAGTTCAAGCTGAATTTGAATCAAGAGCCAAGAAAGCGAAACTAGCTGGAAAATTTGAATCATGAAATAATACCTTGTCCCTCTCAGGCTTTGGCGATGAGAAGGCCAGTTCCAGGCCACCAACCCCAGAGAAAAGGGAAACCACCGGGCGCTTTCTCGAAGCCTGCGCAAACTTCTTGAACGTCAGAATAATGTTTTTAGACACCAAACCAACAAGCCTTGGAGACAGCATCTGGAAACATCTGCGTGAAGCAGTCAGCATTCACGCTACCAGCTTTCGGCTCCGTCCAGCCACGCGGCAACCCTGCATGACAATGACACAACGACATGCGTCGAAACAAGCTTCCGGAAAAGAATCTGGACGTCAGATGTCCACCCAGCCTGAAAAATACTCCCCCACTTCAGGGTTGATGTACTTTCCGGGACTTTGCCCAAGATCCTTCATCAGATCCTG